TGCAGTGACATATGGCAAAATTTTCAGCTAATAGTCTAGCAGGAACTGGGGGCTGAATGTTCATAAAACCGTAACGGTCAGATGCTATTCTGCATATTTTTCTTTATGATAACTAGAGCTCATGATAGTTTTAAGGAGAAGGGGAGCAAAGTAAAATTTTATGACTATCTGCCTTAGAATATTTGTAAAAAGCCCAATTCTCCCAAACCATAAAACGCAATATCCCTTAGGAGAACCTGTTAGTACATCTGAACAGAGTTTGCACAAAAACATCAACAGGAAAAATACAACTAAATCCTCATCCAGCTGTACCCTCCGTACGATGGGGTTATTTATCCTCCCACTTTGCCTTGACTGCTTTTTTGGTGTTTGTTTTGATGCTGTAGGGAATAACTGGCATCTTCTTTGTGGGACTTCAAAAATGTTTCATCAAAACTCAGACTAAAGTCCTACCTGAGACAACAGAGGCCAAGATCCCCGAGCTTGAGGTAGGTGAATAAAACAGGACACCCCTCTGCCCGCGGTGAAACCCACTCCTCTCCCTGGCGTTGGGAGCACGGCCGCCATCCCCACTGCCCTCCCATCCCCTCCAGCCTTCCCAGAGACTCTGCAATAAAGAAATAATGAGTTGTGATCGCTTCATAAAATGATCTTATTTCAGAGGATTGCTTCTAAAAACAAGAAGTGGAAAGAGACAGGATTAGACAGCTGACAGACAAAAACCTCTTGGCACAATACCGGAGATCAAGAACAATAATCCTGTTGTAGTCAAAAAGGTCGCAAGGCAGCTCAGGATTAGCAGGCACCAAAAAGTCAATCAAATTGTTTTCTCCAAGAATTGAGCCTCATGTTCTCAAGCAGAATGAGGCAGACGTAATGCATTTAAAAGAGCAGCCGCATTTAAGAAATGCGATTTGAGAAAGCGCTTGGTGTAGAGCCCTGGGAGGTGGGACACACCGGGCTGGGGCCGCCTCTCTGTCCTGCACGGACCTTCCTACCTCCCACATGCCCGACTGCTTCTTACACCCATTTAGTTTTTGCCCACCGCATCCTGCTGCAAGGAGTCTCACGCTTTGCATGCTGCGCGGAAAGAGCGTTTGACTCCCTATTTTAACACCTCTCTGACAGTGTAACCTGGGGTGATGGCTAAGTCCCTTGAAAGCAGTTGTCCCCTGCCCCATCCCCAAGCCCCCGGCGGTGGCACAGCCCTCCCGCCTCCCCCTTTGCAAGACGAAGGGTGTTAGCAGATTGAATCCCCCCCAAGGAAGCCATTACAGATAAAATGCCAGCAGGACACATGTTTGAAATGAAGCGTGGGCAGAAACATTTCCCTGAATCATGACCCAAATTTCCAGACACCGATTCTTTGATTATGCCATAAGAAGCTAATAGATCTTTTCAGCTACCGTCGTAAAAGGGCTATGGCTTCCCAGTCTTTAGCAGAACATTGCCCCAGGTAGAGAGCTGAAACGTAAAACCCAATGAGATAAATGTAGATTTAAAAACTAGTCATGTCTTCCCCGAGCCCGCGCGCTGCCAGGTCCTTCAGGCAGCACCTCCCCAACCCCATGGTTTTCACCAGAGACTCCGAAAATCACTCAGACTGGGTCAGGTTGTGTTAGCTCTTTCCTAAGACTTCCCAGAGCCATAAGGAAAAACTCTATAAAAGAGAAATACAGCTCCAGACGCCTTCTGGAGAGAAAAATGCCATTTGCCAAGTTGCTCTATGGGCTACCACCACCAACATACACAACGTTGCCTTGGCAGATAGCTCAGCACAAACCCATCCAATAATCTTTATATATCTCCCTCCCTAAGCGCCTGACAAAACACACCATGGACTAATGCAACGGCAGAGACATGTAGTATAAATTACAGAATAAGGCAGTGCAAAGAATTTCTGTGAGGAATAAATTAAAGTGTTCGATCACAAAATCGGTAGCAGAAGGAGAGAGGAATTAAGTAGTAAGAGCAAAGCAGAGAGGAGATGTTTTAATCTTGAGTTTTAAATGAGCTGGGGCGCTCCAGAAGGCTCTTCCAGATGGTGGGGACTGCACAGGAGAAGGCTCTTGAAGCATGATGAACGGAGGGAGGAGAGAGCTGGGTGGTGTTGGCTGAGAGCGGGCAGGAAAGACAAGGCTCATGATGGGTCTCCCTCCGTGAGGATCAGTGCGGTTGCATGTGCACCCCGATCCTGGGGCTAAGGCAGACAAAGTCAAGCTGCTCGCTTGGAGGAGAAAGCTGCCTCGAGGTAAGCCAAGGGGAGGAGAAGCAGCCAGCAGTGGGGAGAGGGTGTCTCACCACACCGGGGTGAAATCTCGCTTTTCTTCCAGGGAGAAGAAATCACGACCACCTACTTTGAGCAGTCTGTGGTCTGGGTGCCTGGGGAAAAGCCCATTCAGAACAAGGAGTTTCTGAAAAGCTCCAAAATTTTTGACATCTGCAGAAACGTGACCATCTACTGGATCCACCCCACGCCAATAGCAGGTACAAGGAGCCATCTCCTCCCCAAAATGCTCATGAGCCCCCTCACTGGGAGCATCCCTGCCACCCATCCGTGTCCCCTCTGCCATTTGCCTGGTGCAACGCAGAGGGAACCCATTTCTGCAGCTTCATTGTACATCTCGGACATAAACGCAACATTGGCCCCAACCATGAGAGAACACGGCCAATGTAATTGCAGGGGCTGAAGTTTCTCTCTGCAAAGCGCTTGTCTCTGCCAGCTCTCCACCGCCCTGCGCTTTGCAGAGCGGCCACCCTCCTCATAACAAGGCAAAAAAACCCAAAACCCTTTATACCTGCAAAGAAGCCAGCGCTGCTGGAAACTGGGACGCCTAAATTCTCATCACCACATGAACATCAGAGCATGAGCAGACATCAGCATCTAAATCACACAACAGGGTTGCCACCTCCAGCTGCTCGCTACACAGCCCTCGCAGAGGTTGCGGCCTCTGAGATCCGCCAGTGTAATTACGCGCTATCTCTAACCCACTTCTATCCGAATGAGATAGTTTAAAATCCCCTACCGAGAAAACTCCCTCCCCTCTGCAGCTGCAGAGGCGCATCTCATCCCCCACGGGTACCAGTCAGCTCACAGCCATCGATGGTCCTGGGAGCAAGCGGGCACCAGAGATCCCCGATGCAAAGGGAGGCTGCTGTCCTTGGCTGCTGTCCCCTTTCTGCTTGCTCGGTCCCTGCTGTTAAATCCTGCTGCAGAAAAAATTAATGTCGCTGTGGGTCTTACCTAAGCCACCAACAGGTGCTGTAGCTGGGTATAATCTGCCCTAAATCACATTGCTTTGCTGGGGCTCCACAAATCCCACCCCACAGCAGCAGAGCCCAGCACGAGGACATGCTTCCCTGCACGCACAGCCCAGTGCAGGGGATGCTAACACCACCCACAGGTACCCAGCACCCATGAGCATGGGGAAGGGATGGGCCATGTCTTCTCTACCCTCTCCTTCTGCCAAATTACCTCCTACAGCCCTTTAGCCCAGGCCTGAGAAGAGCAGGAGGCAACGCAGTACAGCTGGTTTGCTGGTGGGGCTGCTCAGGTTGGAGCCATTTCCTCCTCTTCTTGTACCAGGGCACCAAATTTTGGTATAGACATTAATGCCTGTTGCTGTGTTTGTCCCCCTGCTCCCTGGTTATTCACAACAATGTTTGGGCTCTTCTTGTAGCTCCTGAGCTGGCTGACCTTGAAGGGGCAGAAGAAGAAGACCCTGAGCTGCTCGTGGACAACCAGAGCTGGTTGGATGGGGGGAGCGAACACGAGGTGAAGAATGCACAGCCGGGGCCCAAGCGCCGGGCACGGCAGCTCACTGAGGAGGACCTGCCTGTCAACGACTACGTGAGTGCAGGGGATTGCACCCTGGGGTGTCCTGGCCCTGGTCCTGGGGTGTCCTGGTTGTGCTCCTGGGGTGTTCTGGCCATGTTCCTAGGGTGACCTGTCCATGTTCCTTGGGGGTTCTGTCCATGCTCCTGGGGTGTCCTGGCCGTGCTCCTTGGGATGTACTGTCCATGCTTCTGGATTGCCCTGTCCGTGCTCCTGGGGTGCCCTGGCCACGCTCCCAGGGTGCCCAGGCCACACGTCCCCCTTTCTGCACTGACGCTGGCTCTTCCTGGCAGTCGGAGAATGGGCTGGAGTTCCATCCCTTGTGGGACGAGCAAGGCTACTGCTGTGCCCAGTGCCGCCGCGCCAACCGCTACTGCCGGCGGGGCTGCGAGCCCCTCCTGGGCTACTACCCCTACCCCTACTGCTACCAGGGCGGGAGGGTCATCTGCCGGATCATCATGCCTTGCAACTGGTGGATCGCGCGGATGCTGGGCAGGGTTTAGCACTCGCTGCACAGCACCCAGCGCTTGGGTGCTGCCCCATGCCCGCCTGCGGCGTCGCCACCCGTCTGGATACATCCTGATGTAGCCGACACGCAGGTTGTTACCTGCTTGATTGCTGGTGAGCGTGCGAGCCTGAGCCACGACACCCTCACCAAGCGCATGCCGCCTGTCCCCCCACCGCATCCTGTGCTGCTCCCGTGGGGCTGGGGGAGGCTGTGCTCGAGTGCATCGTCGCCATGCTGAGCAAGAGGCAAACAATAAACGTCTTGTATGAGCGATTGCAAAGAAAATGGAAAGTCGTTTAGTCTCAGTCTGTGATGCTTAATGGGTCTGAGAAGTGATCTAATTGCTTGGTTGCCTTGTCACGAGCATCCATAACTCAGGTACCGGGACTGCCGGCGCTCGCCTCGCTGGGAACGTGCAGAGGTCCCTAATTTGCTCCCCAACTGCACTGGTAGTTGTTCAGCACATCCCAACCCTCTGTTCAGGCATGCTCTGATGTGTTCGGTAGTTGCTAGTGACAGCTCAGGGGTGGCACCAGTCCCCTTGGGAGCCATGTGCAGCATGGCAGCGTGCAGGCAAGGTGGAGGCAGGAGCGGGCACAAGGAGCCCCCGGGGAACTGAGCAGCCAGAGCCAGAGGAAGCAGTGGCGCAGAGGACCACAAGTGCCATCAGCTGTCCCCAGCCTTGTGACCAACAAACAGGCAAAACCCAAGCTGCAGGAGGCAAAAAAAAACCCTTGACACTGCAGCTGCCCTGAGCAGGACACTGCCTGCAGCAGTGCTGAGGGCTAACGGCCAAAGTCCCTGTGCACTCCCCATGCAGCCTTCCTCTGCTCACGGCCTCGGTGCTCATGCCAGACCCCAGGTTCCAGCTTTCATCCCAGAGAGCCAGCTGCTGCCAAGGAGCTTTGACATCCCACAGGTGTCACCGGGCAAAACCCCCTTGGTGTCACTGAGGGTGACCCGCTGCCTTGGCCGGGGCTTTCCAGAAAAACACCTGGACGGAGGAGCCTGCCCAGCTATGCGTACAGAGGAGGGAGTAGGGGGTCAGGCTCTGCTCACCGCCACCATGCCAGGTGCAGGCTGTGGTGTCCCTGGAGCTGCCAGGCCCTCCGCACATCCCTGCAGCTCCCATGGGGACGTGAGCACGTTGTAAGAGCAGTTCCCTCCATCCCCGTTCACGGCTGCGCTGAACAGCATGGTTAAAACGCTGGGAGCTGCCAGGAGCACAGTGCAGCAGAGCTCCCCGCACGGTGTCCCAAGGGACACCAACCAGCCTTGGGGACACCAGCATTTCTCACAAGTCCCCCGAGACATTTATCCCCCTGAGAGGGGACATCCAAATGCGGTGGGGATGTGTGAAACCCGCCCGGCCACAGCTGCTGCAGGAAACTGAAGCCCTGGGGCCAGCCAGCGGTGCTCGTGTCCCAGCTCGGTGGGTCCAGCCGGGTCACCAAGGTGCATCCAATGCCTTTGCCAGGACAGCAGTATCACAAGTTTGCCTGGCATCTCCCCCGGCACGTGCCTGTACCTCCAGGATGTCACTGATGTCGCTCCAAATTAAAGCAAGGTGTCTACATAAGCACTGTTTAACTAGATACGATCTGCACCCTCTGATGGCCGCACTGCCTGTCACTGGCCGTGGGGACGAGCAGGCTGGATCTGCCTCTGCGC